AAAAGCTACTAACCCTTCTAGCAATAGCTAAAAACTAAAAATTTAAACTATTTATAAAAGCATCATAATACAAAATACTTAAGAGATGAACTGAGTGTATGACATATAAATGAAAATTGTATCAATTCTAGTAATTAAAGAAATTTAACCAAATTCTATTAATTGGCCTCTTAACCAATGCCATCTAAGAATCCCAGATTTAGTGGAAATCAATTCTAAATTTAAGATAATTTAAAAAGTAGCTAAAATATCTCTACAAAAGTAGGAAAAAGATACCCCACTTATACAATGTGATGAAAACGTACTGTAATCTGTACCAGACACTGAAGTAAGGTCAGATGTGCACAGCAGATCTTCAAGTGGATCCACATGTACATGTCCAACGAATTTTCAACAGAGGTGCCCCGGTGAAGCAAAGAAGAGGTCCAAGTGCTCCAACCGAACATCCACATAGAATAAAATGAACCTCAGCCCTAGTCTCAAACCATGTCTCACACAATGGACAAGAGGACTGAACATAAGAGTTGTTGTGATTTAAGAAAAGCAGCAGGATGTGCTGTCAACTTTGAAAAAAGTATCCCAGTTTACTGTGTTGAGTTGGCACTGTACAGAAATTAACAGCCATATTGGTATAGAAATGTTGAACTTTTTTTTTCCATTTGTACAGGGGTAATGCACTGTATTAAATATGTAAGGTCTTATCTACGTGGGTTTGATTACAAAAACTAATAAAGTATTCTCTAAATAAAAAAAAAAGAAAAGCAGCAGGAGAGAGAAAGATGCCATGTGACAGGGTTCAAGAAAGATGCTGTGTGACAGGGTTCAAGAAGAGGGCTTTTTTTTTTTTTAATTACGGAAAGGGATCATGAAAAGGGGAAGAGGAGCGGGGAGACTGGCCTCTGGGGACAGGAGCAGCAGGAAAAGGAAAGGGGTCAGAGAAAGAGACAGACAGACAGACAGACAGACAGAGAGGGATAGGAGGTGGGCAGGGCCCTTTTAAAAGGGAAAATAATGAATATGCACAGGTGGTGCTCTTAGTGACTGCAGCTGAGGGCGTATCCTGTCAGAACCCTAAGGACAGGCCAGTACAGATGCCTGAATACTAACAAGAACCCTAACTAAAATTTCTAGAAGAAAATATGTAATAAAATGTTTGCAAGTTGGGCATAGTGTTTCAAAGTAGAATATAAACTTACAAACTGAAAGTGATTTCATCAAAATTAAAAATGTTAGCCTTTGAAAGTTAAGAAAAATGAAGTGTAGACCTTTATTTTCAAGGCCCTAATACTGGATACTCTCTCCATGTACTCCTCTGACAGTTGATGTGTCCCGGAGTTCTACAGTGATACATATGCTAATTTCCAACAATGGCCAGAAGAAATGTCAAGGGAGGCAAGGGTGTCCAAGTGGTCCAACAAAGGCCACAGGCCCACTAGGCAGCTGTGGTCCAAGTCATCAGATGCTGAGGTGGCACACACTCCCACAGCACAGGCCACACTCAGCCAGAAAAGACAGCATAGATGCCAGCAGGTCAGCCGCAAGCAGTTTTCAATGTTAGACAAATTGACAGTGGCTTGAAGGTAGTGGCATGGTACCTGTAAATGCTCGTCACCTGGACTAAGGAGTCTCTCCCAAGGGTTTGGGAAGCACCTGGCTTCCAGAGGTCCTTCTCACCACACTCAGATACAGAGAAACCCCTCTCAAAGGTTGTGGCTGGCAAAGCTTGCCATGCAGCCATGTTTTAGTGCTCCGTGGATACTTTTGTGTCATTATATGTCATTATATGTATGTCATTACATGATGTCATTATATGTATGAACACCATGCCAATATGCTCAGGTCCAAGGACCAGGACATTTACCACTGAGGTTAACATAAGCATAGGAAAGTATTTCCAAAGAACTGGTTTTGTCCAGCTGACATGGGTGACTTAGTTCAGATTTTTAAACTTATGCCTGTCCATTCACTTATATGGACAAGACCAGATTGCCATATTTCGTGGCTTACAAAAACAAATACAGTCTCAAAATTTAGGAAACTAATGATGGATGAAAAGGTTCCGACAGTTCAAATTAGAAGTGAGAGGGTCTGGCTTACCTGTGGTAGATACGTTCTACTGGATCAGGTGCTGCCCTACTGTGGTAGGACCTGTGGTGGGGGCAGGGCCCCACCACATCCTAAAAAGCTGATACAGAGCTATTTGCTTTAATCCCAATTTGGAGCTCATAAACTTGGAAGGGGGTCAGGCAAGCAGCCCCCATCACTTGAAGGCTGTATAGGTTGGCCACCACCTCTAGTTTCTTCTTAGTAAATAGTTTGTGCCAGCTGACTAGTTGGTCCCTGGCATTTCTAGGTCAATGGTCTCAGAACACATGAAAGTACAGCTCCAGTCTACACCTGTAAATGTACAGATTCCTTGGTGCTATCTCGCCTCATCTGACCCTCTGCAAATACTAGGGATTGTATCTCTGTCCCCAAGACAGGTGAGAAAGAGGAAATAAGCATCTCATTACAGAGAACCATTTCAGACCATACATTACTGTGAGGGCAGATTACACACAGCCCCGTATCAGGGCTGCTGCTTCCCATGTACATCTTAAAGTGCCACCTTGTCTCTTACTTCATCAGTGTCCTCCACACACATCCAAGAACAAAGATGTGTCCTTGAACAGGAGAAAGTATTTCACTGTCAACCGAAGAATCAAACTGTCAGCCATTGTGGAAAGCAATGAGGGAGGAGTTCCTCAAAAGCACCCAGAACTGCTATCTCACCCAGCAATACCACTCCCGTGTTATAATCCCAGAACTGAACCAAGACTCAGAGAACACATACTAGCCACTCACAGCAGTGTTATTCCCCATCACCAAAAGGCAAAGAAGACCAGCTGTCTACCAAAGCACAAAGAGAATACACATGAAAGACTGTTTGGCAGCTTTAAAATGAAATAAGGCTCTGTGGATAAACTCTGAAAACACTGTATTTGGTAAAATAAGACAAGTTTAAAATTTCAAAGAGTTTCTTAAGGAAATAGATTCATTTATTGTTGCCAAGCAACTTCTACTAAGTTACAGACAATCCTATTGTGCCCCTAATAGACAGTGGCCACATCAGAAGCACAAGAACTACAGGGCAGACCAGAAATGCTGAGTTGCCAGCTTTGTAGAGAGCCTTAGGGGACACATGAGCAGCACATCCTCAGCCACCCACTTTATAAGCTGACAGCGGTAGAAATCCTAAGATAATTTTATTTGAAAAGCAGAAGGTAGAGAGTAAGCAAACATACAGTAGAGAAAGCAGTTAGTCCTAAAGAACCTCACAGAACTAACTCTAGGGAGAGCAGTTCCTGGAAGAAAACTTGGGGAGCAGGTAAGAAATAAGGAGGAAACCATCCAGGTTGTGTTTAGGCTCAAACTGTAGAAAGTTCATGTGTAGGGACTTTAGACTATCCCACAAGGCCCAGGCTGAGGAGAGGTGTCTCGGGATTGATGTCGGAGCCCAAGTCAGTAAAGAGCAGCCGAGAGAGTAGACCTTTCTCCAATGACGCACTGTATATAAAGTAATGGCACATAAGGCCTCATCATGGTGTCATGCCTCAGTAGCACACAAAGTACTGAGGAAGCTTAGGGGCCACCCATGACATGACCTTGTTTTCTGTACATCAGTATATTTAGTATTGCCAACTTTAGAAGAAATTTTTAGAGAAGGCATGCTCTGTAAACAGGAGATAAACACAAGGATCTGCCCAGTGCCTCCAGCACCCCTAACACATTACATTTATCTCAGGAATTTAGAGTTCTGCCCCTGGCGCTTTTGCTGGCTTTTGGGAACCCATTCCCCATGCGGGGGGGGGGGGGGGGGGGCGTTGGTCCTGCCTGGATTTGATGAGCCATGCTTTGTTGATTCCCGTAGGAGGCCTGCCCCTTTCTGATGGAGACGGAGGAGGGATTTAAGGGATGCAGGAGGGATTTAAGGGAGGTGGGGAGAGGGAACAGGAGAAGGAGGGGGGAGACTGTGGTTGGTATGTAAAATTAATTTTAAAAGAGTTTGTAAGAAGAGCAGGCACTGTGGGAGCAGTAAGGGCTCTGTAAGAAACCCAAACACATGGCAAATAGTCAGACCCTTCCCTTTTATTAAGATTGACTCTGAACCTAGAGGGATGTCACTGAATGAGGAAGTGATAAGCAGGGGTCCCTAGCAGTCACCACTTATACCGTTCTGATATACTGAGTGCACACTGGTTCCGCTGGGACCGTGTTACCTTCCAGCTCTCACGGGCAGTTGTATGGACAGTCACAGTCTGTCCAATGTTTGTTTCTTGAACACGCAAAAATTCACTTAGAGTACATCTTTCTACTCAAAGCGTGCAATCCTGTGACAGAAGCACGAAGCTAGGGCTCTGTGGCAGATGCGGGGCCTTGACTGACTCTGCACAAGGTGACAAGACAGTCCCTGCCTGCCTGAGGGGATAGACAGGGGACCCCACAGAGGAAAACCATAATCATTGCTTCCACGATGCCCACAAATCCTCACTCAGCAGAACTGGTGAGACCTAAGTCAGTGGCTACAGGGGAAACGATGTCTGGTCTGACACTCGCATGCCATATCACAGCCATTCTCTATCCACTTCTGTGTCTGCTCTTCATGCAGAGCCACAGCCACCCTTTGTCCACTGTCCACTGTGTTTAATTCTGGGGCCACTGTGGCTTCCAAATCTATGCATAGCCACCTGGGACAGTTGAAGACACACTGCAGAGACTAAAATGCTTTCTTTGAATTCCAAGCAACAGTACCTGAGATAAATGTCCTACATTGACTAACCCATCAAAGCTCAAAACAACCTGGGTGTGTCCCAGTGAGACACTCTCTAACAGTGTGTAGATAACTGAAGATACAAAGACCATACCATGACAGAATGTGTCAAGAAGTTGGACACGGTCCCAGGGGACTCTAACCTGAAACAGTTGAGTCTATAAATGGTCAAACACCAAGTGGCTGTCACCTGTGTCAACAGCTGATCAGATGTCAACTGGTTGATCCAACGCGTGTATCGCTCTGTAGAGTCTGAGGGGTCTCTCCTCACTTGGCATCCTATGATCTGTGAGAAAAAAAAAACAAACAAATAGATTTTAAAGTTGTAAGTAAGTGTGATACCCATGAATTGGGGGCTGATTTAAGAAAAAAAAAAATCCTGGGCATCAAGAGGAAGAGAGAACAGAATGCCAGGCCCATATGGGACAGTCCAAAGAAATGTGTTACAGTTAACACAGCCCATCTCATATAACATTCCCTTAGAATATGTCTCCATCGTCTCAGAATAGGGTACCACCCCAAGGGGAAAAAAAAAAAATACAAACCTCCACTTCAGCCATAGCCTCAGAACCCATCCCCATGTTAGAACATGTTCACACATGTTCACATCCCCTCCAAACATGGATGGACTGCCTCCTAAACACAGCCCCATGTCAGAATGTGTTCCTGTTTATTTCAGCTGAAGTTCACGGTATCTCCATAGGGTCTATCTCTGGGGAGTCTCTGAAGAGCCCTAATGTTAGCTGAATGAGATCCAGACTCCACTACACTGGCAAAAGTAGGTGGCAGGAGTGCTGTACAGGCCAGGGAGGCTGACTGGCTGTGTATATATGCAAATGAGACAAAGAACAAGGACCAATCAATCAGCAGGGATCTGTCAAACCCAGGAAGCGAAGGCTCACCAAAACCTTGAGAGAGCTCACAACTCTCTCTGCTTCTCTATTCCCACCCCTCGACATTGCAGCCATGTTACAGTGGGAGTGAAAAAGAGGAAAGTGGAGAGAGAAAGGTGAATCCCCAACTGCTTCCCCATGGGTCTTAGCTGTGACTGAGATCAGGCACAGCAGACCACTGTACCTATGGAGTTAGTACCTCATCAGGAGCTGTGGGCTGTCAAATGGCAGCCAATTGCTATCAGCAGCAATTGTCCCTGGGAGCCATTTACTACCATTTATCATGGCTGAGCAAAAGCAGCCTGTTGCTTACTTCAGAAACCAAGTGAGGAGCAAAGTTGTTACCTCTATTACCATCTCACAACCTGCCCTTGTCGCCTCACAACATGGCCCCATCTCATATCCATCCCCACCTCAGAACCCGTCCGTCCCCGTCTCAGGACACATCCAGCCCCACCCCAGACCCACCCCCCCCCCCCCCTCCCCCCCCCCCCCAGACCCCGTCCGTCCCCGTCTCAGGGCACATCCATCCCCACCTCAGAACCCGTCCCCATCTCAGGACACATCCATCCCGGCCTCAGAACCCGTCCCCGTCTCAGGACACATCCATCCCCGCCTCAGAACCCGTCCCCGTCTCAGGACACATCCATCCCCGCCTCAGAACCCGTCCCCGTCTCAGGACACATCCATCCCCGCCTCAGAACCCGTCCCCGTCTCAGGACACATCCATCCCCGCCTCAGAACCCGTCCCCGTCTCAGGACACTTCCATCTCACAACATGCCCCACTTCAGAACATGTTCTTCGACTTTCCCACAATTACGTCTCCATTTCAAGCCAATTATCACCTTGCGTGGTGCCACATAGCTTCCTTGCCTGTGACACTCTCTCTGCTTTGGGTCTTGGCTGTGCTGCTGCTTCCTCAAGCATGACGTCCTCCTTTCCAACTTCTTTCTCTGACCTAGGCACTAGCCTTGACCCCTGCATCACCACCTGGATGATCCACCTCTGCTGCCTGCTGAAATGTACTGTATCAGGTGTGAACACTTGCCAGGTGCTCACAGTTCCCGAGAGCGACTGGCCCTAGTTTCGGGTGTATGGGAGGAGCTGCTCACAGCAGGAACAGTAGAGTTCCTCTGTGTCTAGCCGGGATAGCGCAGAGGAAGCAGAGACCAGTTCCTAGTGGGGCCCCTTCAGAGGACACTGTACTTTTCACACCAGTGTCAATTTCCCCTGGGCTGCTGCTTTAAAGCAAATTACTTATTAGCCTCTATTTCTCTCTCTCCTTTCCTATCCCTGTCTTCATTTCCCTGTTATTAATTAATAGGGGCTTCCTATGTAGACCAGGCTGGCCTGAAACTGCCTGCCTCTTGATTACCTGGGCTACAGGTGTGTACCACCATGCCCAGTTTGCTCTCCTCTCAGAGGAGACCCTGACGTGGGCGCACTATAGTCCTTGCATGATCCCCAGGGCTGCTTCAGGAAGCTTACAGGACTACCAAGCCCATTCTCCCTCTGCAGAATCACTTCTGAACCTCATCTGAAGTACCCCAGAAGCACCATGAGAAGCCCGTAGCTGCCCTTCCTGGGAAGGTGCTACGGAAAACATGAGCAAGAGGCATCCTCCATGCCATCGCCTCCAGTGTAGCCTAACCTACAGTACACAGTCGTCTGTCTCTGTATGACCCTGTAATCCCTCAAGGATCAAGGACATTGTCTGAAAATATTTCCCAGCTGTTCCAGTGTTCACTTAAAATTAAACTGCTCTGACAGCTTCCATATCTTGAATAGCAGGCTTCATACTTCCTGACCCTAGCCTGGGTTTGGGGCTCATGGTGCTCGAGTGTCCTTGTGTTCCTGGTTGACCTGCTAGCCTGGTTCTCCAGGACGTCCTCAGATAAATCCCACAGAATAGCCGCTGCACAACGGACCCAGAAACCCATAGACACTGTGCTTGCTCTGATGAGCTGGCTTCTGCTCTCCTCAGCAGGGTCACTTCTTGAACTGTAACTCATGCTGAGACAACTGCCACCATAATCTCTGGGACGAGTTCTTGCGTCACATGCAAGGTAACAGGCTGACACTGAACTTGGGATAAAGCGCCTGTGCTGTGAGGAGGACACGGTTAGTGTTGTGGTTTGAATGAAAATGCCCCTAATATGTTAAGACACTGACTACTTAGCCTCCAGTTGGTGGCACTATTTGGGGAGGTTTAGGAGGTGTGGACTTGCTGGGAGAGTGTCAGTGGGGTGGGTTTTGAGGGTTGAAAGCCTCATCCTACTTTAGTGGACTCTCTCTGCTTCATTCTTGCATTGGAAGACGTGAGCCCTCAGCTCCCTGCTCCAGATGCCATGCCTGTTGGTAGAGGCACCTTATTTCAGCATAGCACTGTGGTGGTGGCTGCATGCTCAGGGCATGGCTTCAGGTATGCAGATGTGACCCCCTACGAGGAGGAGGAGGGGTTGGCTCACTCTCTTGAGCGGTAGTCGGGCAGAGACTGCATCTTCAGGAATAGGAAGACCGAGGCCGTTATTTACTATTAATTGTGTAAGTGCTCCTCTAATAAATAGCTGTGTATCATTATCTTGGGTCCCATGGACTCTTTTAATCCTCACCTTCAATTAGTGCCCAACGTGGGACCAACTGCCTCTGTGTTGCTATACCTCCCCATCACGATCTCTCTAGAACCACAGCCAAAATGAGCTCTTTCTGCCCTAGGCTGCCTTGGTCCTGGTCATAGCGACAACAAAAATAACTAATACATTTGGTGATGGTGTTCTAGTTGAAGTTCATGCCTCACACAATGGACAAGAATTAGTAAACTGTACTTGGGTTGAGGCTCTTGTATCACTGGTAGACAAAGGTCAGTGAAATTCCACTGAGGGGCAAAGCACCCACCATCCTGTATGCTCAAGAGTGAACGAGACTTTACCCAGAAGTGAAGCTCCTGCTCTGCCAGGTGTGTCAGTGGTGAGACGATACCTACTGTGACAGTAAAGGCTGGTGAGGCCGGCCTTGTGAGAAGGCTCCTAACTTACCAAGAGAATGAAGATCAATGTGACTCTACTTAGGGGTGAGCTCTAGCTTTACAGGGTAGAAAAGGGTTAGTGAGCCTCTACTTCAGGATGACCTCACGTCACAAGTAATCCATCAGACCATACAGCTGTGTGTGTGTGTGTGTGTGTGCGCGCGCGCGCGTGCGTGCGTGCAATATTCCTTTACACTGTGTAAATCTATGTCACTGTGGTCGGTTTAATAAAGAAGCTGACTGGCCGATAGCTAGGCAGATAAGGCTAGGCCGGAGAACCAGAATAAGAGAATGCTGGGAAGGAGGAGCCTGAGCGAGCAGTCACCAGCAGATGTAGAGGAAGCAGGAGATGAACTTCCCATACCCCGTGGAAGAGCATAGGTAAGAAATATGTGTTGGCATTCAGGGATCTGTACTGGGCCTGTCCTTGGGGTTCTGACAGGATTCACCCTCAGCTGTGCACACTCACTACGTTCCCTTTGAAAAGAGGCCTGCCCAGCTCCTGTCTTTCTCTCTGCTTCCCTCCCTCCTCTCTCTTCTCGCTCTGCCGCTCCTGTCCCCAGAGGCCGGTCTCCCCTTTCCCCTCCCTGCTTTTCCCATTCACTTCCTTCCCTAAAAAAACAAAACAAAACAACAACAAAAAAACCTTCCACCCCAGCTCTGTCACATGCTATTTTTTTAAAATTACAACAATATGGGTTCATTTAAAATATAAAAGCTAGTTAGTAACAAACCTGAGATATTGGCTGAGCATTTATAATTAAGTCTCTGTGTGGTTATTTGGGAACTGGATGGCGGGAAAGAAAAGTCCACCTAAGGGGAAGCTCCTACCTCACACGTTAAAAGAGGGTCAGGTGTAGCTGTGGGGGAAGCTCCTGCCTCATCCAGTAGGTAAGAGTTCAAAGATATGGATTTGAAAGGATAGGAAATGCTAGCTCTGTTGTCTTTGAAACTACTTCCTAATGAGAAAGCTTACCCTGTAGAGACAGACCCTGGGAGAAGGCAGCTTATCTATACTTAGAGCTGTGACTAGTGTTCTTGTGCCTATTTCTAATACTGAGCATGATTTTTGGAGCCTACTGGATACTCCTGACACTGACAGCAGATGGCATTCACACATCCTGTGTACAAAGATTCCAAAAAGAACTATCAGCCATCTAGTGTTTATTTATTCTGAGGCCACTCATCACCATGCTTGTCTGTAATGGGCCACACAAGTGAGATGATGCTATTTTCCCGCCTTCACCGTTGGTATCTCTGATACCAAGAGCTTAGCACCACTCTTTCCTTCATGCCTCTGCTCAGGAATCCAGTGGGGAGGCACTAGGGATCCTGTAAAGCCAGCATGAGGCTTCCCACACTATCCTACCAGCTCTAGAACTGTTTGGGCTGCCAAGGTTCAGGAGACTGATGATAGGAATTAAAAATAATAATAATTAATAATAATAAATTACATCTAGAGCTGCTAATAATGCCTAAAACATAAAATCCAACAATTCTGCAGTGATCAAACAATGGAACACATTGTAACAGCTGCCATCAGGGGTCTTCCCTTCCTAAGTAAGTGGTTTTCTTGTAAATGGCCTAACAAAAGTAACAACAGGGTAGGAACATACTGCCAACATTCATTTCATTCCTTCTGAACAAACTAAGCATAATAATCAACATAGCCACCAACCAGCAACTACAGATTAGGACTTTGTAAGCCATGATTTCAAACCCAGAATCACAGTAACTGCTTCTTCTCAGGCTAATTTTGTGTTACAGAGCCAATGGTTCGGCTGTACTGAGTCAGGGAGAAAAATAACAGATGTACTTCACCAGACTCTCAGGGGGAGGAAAACACGGCACAAGGTTCTCTACTGAATGCTGGACAAAGTATCTAAGAATTCAATGAGGCTTGGCAAGAAAAGTCATAATCTAGAACTTAAAGCAATATTATAAAAATGAAGTCAAGGCTGATTTAACTATGAGAAAAAGTGACAGTTTTATTTTTAAATTCCTGAACATCTCTAAATATCACAGTTCATTTCAATGAATGGCACAAAAACTGCAGAATTACATTCATTAATGTAGCCAATCTGCTTACTTTTAGTGTTGGGTAGAAATGAAAGAATTTAATGAAAAGAATACAGCTCTCTAAGATGTCAATACTTGTTAGAAAATTCTTTACAAGTTTCCAATGTATATAATATTGAAATAATTGGAAACTGTCATTTCTGAGTAAAACATACGGCATCTTACATGAGGACCTGAGCCCCAGGCACCTGTTTTCTGGGGCAGAGGCAGGTTCCTGTGCCTCCATTTCAGAGGGGCATGATTGTTGGGACAGGCAAAGCACAGAGGAACAGGGCTTACAGAGTCAGAGGCAGCAAGGAATCTCAGTTCAGAGCAGGTCATTCTGATGCTGCACTTGTCTTTTATTCTCCATCTTCCATGACCACCATTATCTCACTGTCAGCCACTGGGCAGGAATGTCTATAAATCCTAGCCTTTATGTTCCCTTCACATACACAGCACAGAAATCCACACAGGAGGACTTGTTCCTAACAAACATACCACACCAGAAGGCAGTCTGTTTCTCCATATGATGAGGATACCCTGCCAACATCTTTGGAGGCTGGGGAAGCGACCCCTGAGCTATTGGGTGGGACCTAGTGATTCCCATCCTAGGGAGTTGAAGGACACCACGGCCTGGCGTCAATGGAGTTCCCATAGGCTCCACGAATGCACACGCTGTCAGACACTGCTGGCCATCTTCCGACATCTTTCCCAATTAGAAAGGGAGGAAATGAAATACTCTATTCCTTTAAACTTTGAAAAAGCAACTTCTAGAGTCTGTGGTGACTGAACACTGTGATTTGTGGTTCCTTACAACTCTAGAGTCTGTGGGGACTGAACACTGTGATTTGTGGTTCCTTAGCTGTTTACCCACAACCCTTTCAGGACACAATGAATGTTGCAGACCTTCATTCTCCTCACGGAAACATACCTCACAGAAGTGCTGCAGACACCCTGGAGCCCCGAGTCCCCCAGAACCTTTTGTAATCACATGAATGTAGTAGCTACATCCTCTCTGCTCCTGGGGGGGGCAGTGTGCATATTCTGTATTTCCATCTTTCTGACACACCAACACACACTACTGCCTACACGGGGTCCCTGCCCTAAAACTCTATACTAGAAGTTGTTCTGAGATTTCCCATGGCAAAGCTCAGCATCTACCTTCTATGCTGAGAGAAGCCTCAAGGATATCTTGGGTAGGATGGGCTTGGAAAGACAGAGTGAGGCAGGCTGTCTGAGTAATATGGACTGATGTGGCCACATACCCCACCCTCAAAAGTCACAGAGCTACGATATGGGATATAAAGGTACCACCCTCTGCCCAGGGACCTCTCCAGGGCAATCACGGCATTTCCTCTGTCTTACAGGTATATTCCAGAGCATCAACAATTGCAGCTCAGGGTACATTAAGTCTTCAACCTCCAACTTGAAATTCCAGGGAAGGCAACTCCCTACTCCAGGAAAGGCAGGCCTGAGGTCTGTGTCTATACACCCAAGTGCCAGTGACTCATCCTCAGGAACCAAGGGGTGGGGGGGGAGTGAGAAATAAGAAAAAGGTGCCAATTTAGTAAGAGCAGACACTATGTGAGCTACAGTCCGAGTTCACAGAACAATGCCTGTTGGAGGATAACCAGTTGCCCTGATGGTAATGCCCTGATGCCTCAAAATTATCTTTTGGGAAGGTTGTTTTTACGAGACTTCCCCTCTGAATGGACCAGTGTAATATGGAAATAAAGGCCAGTGTAGACCAATTTGACCTCACATGGAGTCGAACTCCCTAGAAGGAAGCAAATACCTGTCCTGGGTGAGTGGCTACATGGGAAAGATACCACTGCATCATAAAGCAAGCAAGAAAGAGAGAAAGACAAAGGGAGAGGGAAAGGAGAAAGAAATCTGTTTCAAAGCTTTCCAAAATAACAGGATAGAAAGACAGTGAACATTAAGGGGACATAGAAGAGAAAGGAACCCCCTTCACCCAAGAAGGAGTTTGCTTGAAGCTGAAGTCTTTCTCTAGCTGAGAGTCAAGAATTCCAGTATAATTAATAAAAGTCGGCTATGAATGTTAACTACATAGGGACGATTAGTTTTTATACAGAGATATTTCAAGTAAGAGTGTTAAAATGCCAACAGATCATGCTGAAGGCCTAAGCATGTATGAGCCTGTTGCATTTGGCCTACTCCTTTTCCAGCTGTAAAACTTCAATTTTCTGAGAATCTCAAAATAGTGTAATCTTTGTTGACAGTAAAAACATGTCTTAACTCCCAGTAACCTAATATAATAAAGATCCCTTGAATTCTTCTGGCCTATGGCTTTACCTTATTAACGTTTATTCCTGTCCAACGCACCTCAGGAACTACCCTCTGACCTCATTTACAAAAGAAACAAGAAAGGAAAGAAAAAAGAATCTCTTAGAATCTTTTAAACAATGTAACTTCAGAAGCCACCAAAATTATATGTATAGCTATTTTTTTTTTTTTGGCTTTGTTTTTGCTGTAGGATAATCCTTTTGTATGCTATAAATATGTATTGTTTTCACTGGTTAATAAAGAAGCTGATTTGGCCTATAGCAAGGCAGAATAGGCTAGACAGGAAAGCCAAACTGAAAATACAGAGAGCAAGAGGGGAGGAGTCAGAGAGAGAGATGGGAGCCAGCAGCCAGAGGAACAAGACATGTTAGAGAACAGGTAAAGCCATGAAGCCACATAGCAAAATGCACATCAATAGAAATGGGTTAATTTAAGCTGTAAGAGCTGGTTAGTAATACACCTGAGCAGCAGGCCAAACAGTTTATAATTAATATTAAACTTTTGTGTGATTATTTGGAACTGGGCAGTCAAAGCAAAGGGAAAGCTCCACCTCTGTTTACATGTTTTGTTTTGTTTTTCAAGATGGTTTCTCTGCATAGTCCTGACTGTCTTAGTATTCACTACACAGACCAGGCTGACCTGGAACTCACAGAAACCCTCCTGCCTCTGCCTCCTGAGTGCTGGGATTAAAGGTGTGCACCCCCACCTCCTGGATATGTATAGCTATCGATAAGACCTTTAAATGACTTTCTTGAGAAGTCTATGCCCATACTTGGGGGTATAGATAGAATCTTTTCCTAAACATTCATCTATTAATGCTCTGCTTGACTCTATGTTAAAATCTCTTCTTAATAAACTCCAACTCTACTTCATAGTCAACTTGTTCTGAAATCCTTTTCTTTGGTGAAGTTAAGAATTCTGATCTCAGTGAAATTCTTGCAAAAGAACACCTTAGGTCTCTAAAGGCAGCAAGGTAGTTTTGTATGGTGATATCTTTTTTTTTAAGTTACAGATCTGTTGGCCAATGATTAGGGCTTCTTATTGGCTAGCTCTGTCTTAATTATTAACCCATTTCTATTAATCTAAGTATTTCTACATTGCCTTATCTAAGCGTGTCCTATCCTCCTGGTCCCTCATGGTGACTCCATCTGCCTACAGTTCCCAGAATCCTCTTCATCTCTTAGTCCCACCTATCTTCCTGCCTTATTGGCCAACAGTGTTTTATTCATCAAGTGTGGTGGTATCTTGCTTGTACAAAGATCAGAGGATGGAGCTTGCCACTAGCTAGAGGTCTGTAGGTCTGTATAGAAGTGAGAAGTGAGACGGCTGGGTAGAGAAAGAGGGAAGAAACAGGAACTCACTTTCTTGTCCGCTGAGACGCTAAGGAGGTAAAGGTGGCTTTTGCTTGCTCCTTCTCTCTGGTCTCTCAGCATTTTCCTCTATATCTGACTCCAGGTTTTATTTAGACCAATGAAGCACTCCTTTTTATATTTTGGCGCCCATTTTTTAAAAACATATAAACTGTTTGGCCTATTGCTCAGGCTTATTACCATCGAACTCAAATTAACCCATAGCTCCTATCTATGTTTAGCCACGAGGCTTGGTATCTTCTCAGTGAGGCATTCTTATCTTGTTTCCTCTGCATCTGGCTGGCGACTCACTCTCTGCCTTCCTCTTCACAGAATTCTCCTAGTCTGGTAGCTCTGCCTATATGAGTGACAAATCTTTACAGTGTACAAGAGCATTACGCCACATCAGTTTTGTCTCTAGTTCCTACTCCTGTTGCCACTAACCAGAAGTATACTTAAAGGCTCAGAAACATGGCAGTCACAAGTCTCCCTCTGATCTGGCTATCTGACTGTAAAGATTCTTTCTAATCACAAGGAATAAAATCCCAATGTTAAAAAATGACTAGCATTTCCTTAAAGGTGGTGACACACAGAAGGGTGTTGTACTCACACTCGTTGGGTGCTGAACAGCAGCTTCATGTTGCAGCCTCACTCTCTGGGGCATCATAACATCATCCTGTGTAAAGATCACGTTCTGTATTAGCATACAGCAACTCCAATGTAGTAGGAATGGCACACTGTCCAAGAACATAACAGCAAACAACGTGAGTAGGCAACTCAGATGATCATAAACCAGGACCCTCTTTGGTCATCAAGGAGAAGTCATTATGTGACTGGTGGGAAAAGAGAAAATTCTGGCAGTCCAAGTGTACTCAGGACCAAGAACAATGAGGACATTCATGTGCCTGTGTGAAGTGTCAGGCTTGTTCTCAGACATGTTTTGGCATCATCCAGTAAAGCTGGAGGTAAAGATTCCCTAAGACCTAACAAGCTCACCATCTGTGTAGAAAAGGTCCTCTACCTAGGTAAGATTTGGGCAGCAGTTTCCAGACAGAACATTCACGCCCATAAACACCCGAAGGAGAAACAAATGACATCCATTACAGCTCTCAAAGGCCACTCAGTGGGAGAATGTAGTCACAGTTGCTTAGATCAGTGAATCCAGGACAAAAGAACAGATATAGTATCACTTCACACACTTAAATCAAACCCTAGGAAAGCTGACCACATTATTTATTAAGTGCACACATAATGAAAACAATAAGAGAAGTGAAGACAGTGTGGCCCCCAAAGCCCAAACCCAGGTCACTCTAAGCAGGAAGTTGCTTGAAGAAGCATCATGACAGATCCCTGAGGTATAGGTTAATAGGCAGCTCCTTGTACATATTCCACAATATAAGGTTTTGTTCATTTTTCTGTAGCAATGCTACACTTCATAGTAAAATAAGGTATTGTCAGTGGACAAATAATCAAGATTTAAGTGTTTAAATGGGTATGGAAGTAGGTGACAGAGAAAATCCTTCTAAAATAATGCCACAATGACTGGACCAGAAATTAAGGGGTACCTGCCACCCTGGACTCCTTATGCCCCCCCAAAAAAAACAGATAAAGAAAGGGGTTATGGTGTATGCCAAGGTGGCTGACCCAGACTACTGGGGAAACCAGATGACTTCTCTACAAAGGAGGCTAGGAAGAGTGCAGTGCAGCAGATTTCTTAAAGGGTCTCTTAGTATCACCATCCTCTGTGATCCAGGCCAATAGGAAACCACAGCACCACAACCCAGGTAGTATGACAAATGTCCCAGACTATTTTCAGAATAAAGCTGTTAGTCACCTCTCAGATAGAGAACCAGCTCCACTGAAGGGCTTCATAAGGATGATGAGACAGAGAATTATGAAATGAAGACAGAAAGTGCCTATTGCCAACACGTTGTGGGTCTGCACTGTTTCCAGCAACTTCCTGCCCAAAGGAACCTCAAGTTTTGGCTTTTGGGACCTCACTTTTCTTTGTCTTCATTATGTGTGCACTTAACAAATAATGTGGTCAACTTTCCTAGGGTTTGAATTTAAGTGTGTGAAGTGATACTGTATCTGTTCATTTGTCTTAGATTTACTGATCAGAGCAACTGTTACTGCATTCCATGGACTTTGAGAGCAGTTATAACTATGATCGTGTGATCAATTACAGAAATGAGGCTATCACAGTTATAATACCTTATTTTGCTATAAACACATTAGGTAAACATTTTGTATTCTTCCTTTTCTTATTTTCCTCATTTCAGTTTTTGGGATATCAAAGGACTCAGAATCACTTGAAGAACTATGACTCTTTGATGAGAGACTGCAAATGTTCAGTTATAAGCGGCATAGTTGCAATGTGTATTACAACCCCACCTAACTCTGGCTGGACCCAAGTGTTGCTGAAGGAGATGTATATGTGTGTCAGGTCAGCAAAGGTTGGACACATGTGATGAATAATTTATTGTGCTAACCTGACTGGACTAAAGGACGCCCAGAAAAGTGGCAAGATGCTTATGTCTGTGAAGATGGATTTGGAAGAGATGAACAATTTTATCAGTGGACTGAGATTAATTTCCTCCCACCTTCTATTCTACCCCTCTCTCTTGCATGCACACACAACATGTGCGTACACACACACACACACACAAAAAAAAAAAAAAAAAAAAAAAAAAAAAAAAAAAAAAAAAACCTTGCTGCTCCACTTGTCTGGGTTCTTACTAATACACATGGAATTAACCAAGATTCCAATTTTACACTTTGGGGATCTATACAAAAAGCATGAATGGTCAGTATTGCTTGGTTCTCAAGAGCCTAAAGAATATTCAAATGTGATTTCTACCACTGTTGCTGTTAAGAGTAAACAACTACAATGAGAGCAAAGAGAGAACAAATGGAATTAATACACTCACTGGCCAAATAGCTGAGAAGCTAAGGAAGATAGAGTGAACAGACATTCAATCCAAAGAATCAACAGAGAAGCAGGTACTAAACCTTACAGAGCCTGGTGACTAAGAATATAAATAAGGTCTCTATTTTCCTGAGGCCACCAGATAGAAAAGGTGGTTCAGACACTAGAAGGTCTTACTTTATTTTATTTTTTGCAAATGAAAGGAAGGGAGAACTTTGACGACAGGTCAGAAGTGTTGCTGCAGGGAGAAGGTGACCCATTTCCCCTTCCTGGAGACCCACTGCCTCCTACTCCCTCGGTGGGCAGGACCACTGAGACCCGTTAACAAGAATCAGCTAGCCTTTGAAATGTAGAGCAGAGGTGCTAACAGGCCAAATCCAAGATGCTGTCAGCACCATGGAAGCAGAGTACATTCACCTCAGGGCTCAGGCCAAGGAATATTATCTGGAGCTTTCTTCTCAGTGACAAATAGATTTGAAACATCATTCCTGGCATTCCAAGATGTGCATAAAATTCCCAGAGGGGTTGAAATCCCACAATTATGAATCATCACCATGGGATGATGGGACAGCCTGAGAGAAGAAACTGGAAGCCTCATAGAAAGAGTATTGAGGGCCTAGAGACACGGTCAGGAGAGCTTCCCGTGATTCTAAAACCTTGAGTTCAGTTCCCAGCACTAACACATAGAGTGGCTCACAACCACCTCCAACTTCAGCTCCTCGGAACCCAATATCCTCTTCTGGCCGTCCTGGGCAAATATACACATGGTAGTCGTTCTCTCTCTCTCTGCCCGTCAGAGAGAGAGAGAGGGAGAGAGAGAGAGAGAGTGAGAGAGAGGGGGGGAAGGAGGGAGCGCACGTGCGCCTCTCTATGCGCCTCTCTCTGTGCGAGCGCGCCCCCCTCTCTCTCTGTGCCCCCCTCTCTCTCTGTGCCCCCTCTCTGTGCGCCCCCCTCTCTCTCTCTGTGCGAGCGCGCCTCTCTCTCTCTGTGTGCGCCCCCCCTCTGTGTGCGCCCCCCCTCTGTGTGCGCCCCCCCTCTGTGTGTGCGCCCCCCTCTCTCTCTCTGTGTGCGCCCCCCTCTCTCTCTTCTGCCCCTCTCTGTGCGCGCCCCCCTCTCTCTCTTTTCCCCCTCTCTCTTCGCCCCCCTCTCTCCTCGCTCCCCCCCCCTCCCGTTGTGCCCCCCCCTCTCTCTCTTTTCCCCCTCTCTCTTCGCCCCCCTCTCTCCTCGCTCCCCCCCCCTCCCGTTGTGCCCCCCCCTCTCTCTCTTTTCCCCCTCTCTCTTCGCCCCCCTCTCTCCTCGCTCCCCCCCCCTCCCGTTGTGCCCCCCCCTCTCTCTCTTTTCCCCCTCTCTCTTCGCCCCCCTCTCTCCTCGCTCCCCCCCCCTCCCGTTGTGCCCCCCCCTCTCTCTCTTTTCCCCCTCTCTCTTCGCCCCCCTCTCTCCTCGCTCCCCCCCCCTCCCGTTGTGCCCCCCCCTCTCTCTCTTTTCCCCCTCTCTCTTCGCCCCCCTCTCTCCTCGCTCCCCCCCCCTCCCGTTGTGCCCCCCCCTCTCTCTCTTTTCCCCCTCTCTCTTCGCCCCCCTCTCTCCTCGCTCCCCCCCCCTCCCGTTGTGCCCCCCCCTCTCTCTCTTTTCCCCCTCTCTCTTCGCCCCCCTCTCTCCTCGCTCCCCCCCCCTCCCGTTGTGCCCCCCCCTCTCTCTCTTTTCCCCCTCTCTCTTCGCCCCCCTCTCTCCTCGCTCCCCCCCCCTCCCGTTGTGCCCCCCCCTCTCTCTCTTTTCCCCCTCTCTCTTCGCCCCCCTCTCTCCTCGCTCCCCCCCCCTCCCGTTGTGCCCCCCCCTCTCTCTCTTTTCCCCCTCTCTCTTCGCCCCCCTCTCTCCTCGCTCCCCCCCCCTCCCGTTGTGCCCCCCCCTCTCTCTCTCTGTGTGCGCCCCCCCCTCTCTGTGTGCGCCCCCCCTCTCTGTGTGCGCCCCCCCCTCTGTGTGCTAGTCCAGAGAACTGAGAATAAACGATAGACAGGCTTCCAGTGAAGTCTCCAAGCAAGGTACCCTTGAGACTGACAGGTGCAGAGAGGCCTTGGAGACACTAACTGTGCCTGCCACAGAGAACACTCACACCTTGTGTTTGGCTTTTGGATGAGATGTGGAAACTGAGGGAGAAACAATCCCAGCTCCTTCCTGAGCCTGTTCTGAATGCAGTATTTGGTGACTTGCATATGCCAAAGGGCTCCTTGACCCACTGGTTGGGTTTTCCCTGACCTGCTGGAGTCTGTGACAGTAAGTCAGCTCTGGTCCCCTCCCCATGTGAGTCAGTCTCTCTGTCTAACTCCAACATTTGTGGTCCCTTCTCTGAGGATCCCAAATAAAACTCTTCTGACAGAGAAGCCACAGGATGTCAGCATACCAGACAGACGGCTACCACGTGCCACTGGACAGCACAGCAAATCACTGGCAATCACTGCTATTCTGTGGGCCAAGAAGAATGTACTGGCCCAGTGACTATACCCCAAACCAGAAGCTCTTCTAATATTACCTCCCTTCCTCTCAAACTATGCACATTCCCTAAAATCCCATATAGTAATAGCGTATAACTCTGAATCCCTTTAGGCTGAGATTTCGCCCATCACTATAATCAATCTATATTTCTGGTCCGACTTCATCTTTCTCAGTTTGTTCCAAAGACCCTTCAGGAGGATGAAGGAGCTGTCTTCGGCTCTGTAACTCTGCAGCCCTGCAACTCTGAAGACTCTGCTAGGACTTCCCATTCAATGCAATCCTAGGATCCCTGGCTCATACCCTTCAAGAACATGCCCAATTCAGATGCCATGTGACTTGGTTACAAATGGGTAGTTTTCTGCTGATAGGTTTGCATGGCTGAGGGAAAAACAAACTCCATTTTCAGCTGATTGGAAGGGATACAATAAAGGACACAGATGAACAGTCAGATGGTAAGTAAGGTATACAGTGAGGCCCAAGGGACACAAGTATAGGGCTTTTATTCCCATGGGACTGGGGTGTGTTACCCTCTGGGACTTTGGCATGTCCACACCAGAAACCTCTGTTTATGGAGGTTTACAGAGTCTTCACCAGGTCCAATCTCCAGCCCTGGTCCCCTCTCTGGCTCCCGAGGTTAAAAGTGCCATGCTTCTAGTTTTTGGTGGCCAGCCTCATACTGACTAGCAGCCCTCAAATCACTTCTGAAAACAAATGACATTTTCTGGATGCTGTATTTTGGACCTGGAGTATCTCCCAATGCCCACATGTCAAAGGTCCCTACCTTAGTACTGCAGGGGGGTAGTGGAAGCTTGAAAACATGGGACCTTATTTTAGTGGAGGGCTGGTTTACTGTGATGTACTTTAACACCATAAAAAGTATGACTTCTATAATTTAGCAGAGCAGCTTCCATTTTATTTTAGGTTTTTCTGAAGCAGCTTTTCTCTGTGTAGTTTTGGCTGTCCTGGAACTTGCTCTATAGACCAGGCAAGCCCCAAACTCACAGGGATCCAACTACCTTTGCCTCCTAGTGCTGGGATTAAAGGTGTATGCCCACCACCACTCTCATCTTAAAACAACGTAAGTCCACCTAAATTATAGCCACACTGAAATGAAAATTTATAGTTCCCTGCATAGAGCTAGCTATAAGGCAAGAGAAAACTATCCAAAAAGACAGGAGTGAGATATGAGAGCCTCGGGTCCCAGTTTTTCCTTCCCTCCATGTCTCTCACAAACTTCCTTAGTTACACACAGGCTCGGAATGAACAGCTTGTTTTCTGTTTCCTGCCCTTGAAGGTGGACCCAGAAACGTCAGGGTAATGCTCAGCAGAGCAGCAGCCCACACAGATCCTTTCTGCCAGGTACATGCATGGGGCCAAAAACAGCCACAGTCCTCACCTGCTTCTGAAAGCTGAAGTGGGTTCTACATAGCTAATACCAACGCTGTTTTACAAATAATTTCACACTACAGCAGACAGGTCAGATACAAAAACCACAGAGACACTTCCTCATCCAACTGGCAACATCTGCCTTCAACAAGTTACAGACAGGCATGCTGTCTAAATACAATAAAGATGACATTATGCAGAACTCTGACTTCAAAATGTCAGACCTCCCAAGGTAACCCTTTGGGTCAATTCTCCTCCTGTCCCTTGCATGAAATGGGGGTTCTACCTCCTGGTCTATGTCACCTGGAATAACCAACTGGAAACAGAAACAAAACTTATAACAGCTGTCTAAGCCAACGGCCAACATATCCATGAGCCCTGGTATGCATGTTTCTAAGAAGCTAGGGGCCCAACCTATGAAACAATTTAGATACATAAAAGTTGTATTTGTTTAACACACTTTGTTTGCTTTGCTTTATCAGGGTTTCTAAGGACAGCACATTTGTATACAGTCTCTGTTCACCCATACCCAAGTGTCCTATTCCTAAGAATGCCCCATAAACGTGACAATCTGCTAGTGTTCTCCATCAGTGCTCAGACAGCACACAGTAACCAGTTTCTGTTGTAGCAAACAACTGTGAAAATCAGGAGTCAAAGGTGCAAGCATTTTAAGTTCTTGAACAAAATGTGCAATCATGCTGTCAATGCAGTGCCAATTCACACTGAAATACCATCTATATTTTGAAAACTTAATTTGCTTTATGGAAGTATCTTGCTAATTTGATTACAAATTTAAATTTTATTATAACTTTGATTGATCTGAATCTCTGTATAAGTATACCTGTCACCTATAAGTCTACTCCTGACCTCTACCCATGTTTTGCTTCATGTTTTGCTTTGGCTGTCATGGGCTGTTTCCATTTCTATATCTTAATCTCTAGGTATTATATTTACTAGTATTGTGCTTATTTTAATGTTGTTTATATTCTCTGTGGTCCTGTTTTACATTTTTATATGATCTTACTTATTGTTAATTAAGTGCAATGGCCGTGTGTAGCCAAAACCTATTAAACTTTTCAGATTCATCATAACATATCTAAAAATGTATTTTTAAGAACCATACTAAAATTCACAACCATTATTTGGTCAATATATACAAAGTCACTATAAACAAAACAGAGAGCTACTTACTGAATCCAAAAAACAAAGGTAAGACCCTGTGCTCTGTGCGATTGCTTGGTTTTTAGAATATCCAACTATGAGAAAAAAAAGAAAAAACAGCTCTTTTAGAATTCAATGCTCAACAGCATAAAACTAAGTATACTTTACACTCCAAGAAAGCTAAGGTCATTTCACCCTACTACCAAAACTTTGGGTATAATTTTGAAAGAATGAAAGGAAGGTAAACAGAAAGCAATGTTCATGTTCGTTAATGATATTTGACAATGCCAAGGATAAGTCATGGCAGGCATCTAGAACAGTATTAAAATAGAAGTAAAATATCATTGGAGAGAGTCTAAAAATCTGCCTACATAGGAAAAGCACAGCGCTTACTTAAGTGTGAGTGGTTGGCAAATACCTCAATTTAAATACTTCATGGATGGCTACCTGAGCACTGTGTCCCTAGTGAGGTTAGGTGACCGACTGACAATGTCTACCACGTGTGTGTACATCCAACCCAGGTCACTGCCTGAGCATGAAGACTCGGCTCTCATTGCAGCATGCACTATTCATTACAGACCCAACAGAACTTTAGTCACGATTAGTCATGCTAAAGGTCCAGAGGGGGGCTACCAACTGCATATTGGGAAAAAAACAGCTCATTTGACAGTGAGCATGCAGAGGCCAGGGTTTCACACAGCAATGTAGGTGATCCTTACTGTACTGCTGAGTGAAGGGCTCAGACCCAAAGGAGCAGAGACCACAGAGGACACAAAATCAGAGCAAAGAGATACATCTGGGCTTAAGAACTAGGAAAGTGGTTGTACTGGATGGAGAAGCCAGCTTGGCCTGGGCTTCAGGGACTGGTGATGTCTTATCCCCAGGGGATAGTTATTAAAGTGTTTTTAAGAAAAAGTTTCCTTCAAAGATATAACTGAGTTGTAAAAAAACAAAACAAGAAAACAAACAAAAAAAACGCAATAACAACTAAATGAATGGTGCTGGAAAAGTGCAAGAGCTTAAAAGACAAAAATCACCACAAGAATATCACAGACAGAACTGTGCATTTTAATTGATGTAAACAGAAAATGAAACAGTGCAGGGAAGAACACTGGAGAGCACCCAGTAACTTTTGGGTGCAGACAGTTTAGAATGGAAGAACAAACCATCAGGCAGGACAGTTGCAAAGGCTTGGAAATTTGGGGCACTATGCAGAAAGTGACACAAGCTCAGGCTGGGTGGTAAAAGCAGATCCATTAAAGGGTGTTCAGTCCAGTAGAGGGCACTAATGGGGCTTTAAAGAACACGAACTCTGTTCCTACAAAAGAGACTACCAACACCCGAATCACATTAACAAGATAGCTATAGTCTTGATGCCACTGAGAAAAGACACACAAAGCAAAACAGATGTGTACAAAGTTGAAACAATAAATCTCTTTGGTATCTGAAGTTAAGACAAGCTGGAGAAAGTTGTCAGTCCTGAGGGAACACCAGACATATGTGCATCTCAGCCAACCATGACACTCTCCCACTTTCTGCTGTAAGAAAGGCCTCTCCTACAGGGTCTGCTAATACAAAAGAGCTGCAACCCCCAACCCCACCCCGGAGGGGGGATGCTATGACTGAGAAGCAAGACACAGACGTGAGAAGCTGCCCCATTCACTCAGACCCCCAAGATCCAACCCAAAGCAGTATCTTTCTGTAGGGTTCATACCAAGTAGCAATTCAATTTCCACCCTGAATCTCTAGAACTTGGTCAGTCCAAACCAGTTAGCAATGGTACCCAATTCTGAAGAGCTACAGGCATAAACAAAAGTAAAGCAGGAAATGACCAAGAAAGGTAATGTGATGCCTCCTACTCTGAGATAGATTTGGCATAATGAGGAAACTCTAGCCATCCCTGCCGAGCAAGACAAGCATGCAGAATAAAACCGAGAACCTCAAAAACAAAAACAACACTTGTCACAAGCATACTGAAATTAACAGAAGTCTGTAACAAAAGTTGCTTATGGAAAGTCAGATTTTAAGAGAGAAACTGAATCCTTGAATCCATATAATGCTGGAAGTTTCTCACAATGAATCTTATGTTTGGCAAAGACAAGGAATTCGCTCTAATATTATTGCCTTGAAGAAAGTCAAATGTTTGTGTGGGGGGCTCCATGTTTGGGGAGGCCAGTCCCTTTGTGAGAGGAGATGGTTGTCATGGTTCCAACAGGAAAAACCTAGCTCCATGGAGATATTAACATTCCTCACCCCTGGGAGAGGAGCAGTGGGCTGTGGTTCATTCGCCTTTAGCAAAAAGTCACATGATGAAGTGTGTTCCTGTTGCACAAATGTTACGAAAAAAACGAGTCCTGCCCACTGCAAATAACCCAGCACCCCTGAAAAACAGAACCTCTGAATTTATGCTAATGTCTAAGGTAACACGCCCTACTTACTACAGGCAAACACATCTTCCCAAAGAATCAGCTGAGTTCCACTGTGTCATACAGGACAGCCATGAATTCCCATTCGCTTCCCACAGACAAAGAGCTGATATCATCTCCTAGCACTCCACCTGGGGTCCTGAGTTTTACAATGCCCTTGCCAGAGACAGAGTGCATCCAGACACACTGACAAGCAATTCAACTTTTATGAAAGACAAAATCTGTTTTTAAAGTGGAGACAAGGGGGAGCCCATTCCCTATGGACGTATACTATTGCAGCCCAGATACAGCAAGAAGGGCCTGGGCTTCCCCCAAACAATTTGACAAGACTTCGAAGGTACCTGGTGGAGGGCCTCACTATCCCTGGGGAGGAGTTGGGGGGTGGTTTGGGGGGGCTTGGTGGGGAACATGGGAGGATGGGAGGGCAAGGGAATGGGGGATGGATATGTAAATGAGTAGTAATTAAAGAATAAAAAAAAAAAACTAGGAAAAAAAATAAAGTGGAGACAAGGAACATCAGGTAGCAAAATGCCCTTTCCATTCAATGACAGGAGCTGCAAAGCCCCTTTTAACTAAAGAATAGAAAGGGACATTTAGTTTCAAAAACAAATTCATGTTTCAGAAGTTGAAACATACATTCTGTGATAGACTATAGTTTTCTATTTCAAAGTAAAGATAATAAAACTAGGAAATAATTTCCAGAAAATATTAACATTTTCCAGATGCACAAGATGATGAGTGGTGGAAAGATCCCTGCCAGAACCAGGCATCACTCCTCAGATATTGTCCATCTTCTGTGAGACAAGGTCTCTCTCAGACCTGGATCTCAGTAAGCAGGCTCGGCTGGCTGTCCCAGGGAATCTGCCTGTCTCCAAACTCACCACCACACCACCCAGTTTTTTGACACACGTTCTAGGAATTAAACTTGGGTCTTCATGCTTGTAAGGCAAACACTTTCCTGACTGAGCCATCTCCTCTTCAGCCCTAAAATACAGTTTTATTTAAATTTTGTCTTAAGAATTGTTCATGCCGTTCTGCTTCCTCAAACAGCACTAATGAGGCAACACTAGGGTTCCTCTTGACAGACCAGGCTCAGCTGAGTCTTGGCAGTTCAACAGTGCTGACCTCAGCTTCAAACATCTACTCTGTACTTCACCCAGAACAACAAACACAAGAAGAACTAAACATTAGCAGGAGACAGAAAAGGGAAGTAACATCAGTATGGCAGGCAGGCTTTCAGACTGGGAGCGTGTGAAGTACAAGCCACTTTCAGAAAGCAGACAAACTATGTTTATTGAGAACCGACAGAAATGTTCACATCTTCTAAGGTTGGTCTAAGGTCCTTAAGACACCGTGGCCCAGTATTCCATGCTACCTAGATTGATGTCTGGATACTGGGGGATAAGAACAGCCCCTGCCCTCAAGAGTAAAATAAGAACTGTTTAAGCCCATGGTGATGTACACTGTAAGAATCAAGTAAAGCAAACATGATGGCACAGGCCTATAATACCAGGAGGCTGAGCCTGGAGGGCTACTTAAGGCTGATGCCAGCCTGGGCTACATGAGGAGGGAGGAAGGGAGTAACACTAAGTGGCCCGAGGCCACAGGACCACCAGTACCATCCTTACAGCAGTCATCCAGATGCAACGATAGCAGAAAAGAGCAAGAGCAGGAAGAGAGGGCAGGTGTGTGGCATCCGGTCTGGTACCAGCAAGGCTTGTCTTCCGTTTATTCCTCTTCTGAGAGTCACTAGATTATAACAAGCACACACACCTCCTGCTTCCTCCACCTTCCGTTCACACAACTCTACTCCAAAATCCCAAAATCCCAAAGGAAGCTGCTGAGGGTCAGGCTCGGGGAATTACATGTTAGATTGAAGTCAGTCCTAGCAGCAGCAGGTACTACACATCCAGGCCGTCACAAGTTGTGTTCTAGAGGGAACCCTGCCTGTCACCTGCCTGCCCTTAAAATACACTGGCGCTAAATGGACTATGCCATCTGGACAACGTAAAACAAAGCAAAACAAAAAATTGGAACACGGTGTGTGTTCTGGCTGGACACTAACTTGACATAAGCTAGAGTGATCTGAGAAAAGGGAACCTTAACTGAGAAAATGCCTCCATCAGATTGGCTTGTGGGCATTTTCTTGGCTGATGACCAATGTAGCTCAGCCCACTGTAGGTGATACCACCCCTAGTCAGGTGGTACTGAGGTATATAAGAAAGCAAACCGGTGATCCAGGAAGTACAAGCAGGTACGCAGTGCTTCTCCGTGGCCTCTGCTTCAATTTCTGACTCTAGGTTCTTATTTTGAGTCCTGACTCCCTTAGTCATGGACTGTATGTTATAAGGTGAAATAAACCCTTTCCTCCCCAAGATGCTTTTGTTAATGTTGTTTATCACAGCAACAGAACCCTGACTAAGACAGAATGCTACTCCTGATATTTAGAGCAGTGGCTTCCAACCCCAAATTTATCTCAGAACTCCTGGGATACATCTACCACTTCCAATGCTGAAATCAGACTCTAGCCCAGACAGATTCCCTAAGAACATCTTAGGCAAGACTTGGGTACCAGGGGTCTTTATGTATCACGAATGGTTCCAAATGCAGCCAACACTGAACATTGGATACAAGTAACTATCCTTGACAAGTAACTTACCAGCTCTACA